CCTGAATGTACTTGTATTCACCCTTTGTTGTTAGTATATCTTGAGTCCTACAACTTTAATACAGCTTTCTCCTTAATGTGTATACATTTTTTGGCACCTTCTGTATATATTGTACATTGTCCTAAGAAAAGAAAGCAAAACATAATGAAGACCTAAGTTTTACTACTTCAGGTCAAACTCTGATGACAAACCTCGGATTTTATAGCTACAGAAATAATCAGAGGGAAGTAAAGAGACTTAGAGAAAGTCACACTTCTAGTTACTAGCCACTGGTTTAGAATGCAAATTTCCTGTCTCATAATCTTGTGTTTTTGTTCAAAAGTTATATATAGCACTCATGGTAGGGCATCTGAAAAGCAAGCATTTTGGAAAGTTTCTAGCTGATATCTGAAATTAGCTATAAAACAAGGTAGAACTGGAGTCTTCTGATTTCTAAATTACATCCAAGTTACTGGCCTTTTTTTGAAATGTGTATATCTAATATAACTTTTTAAAATGGTCTACTAAACATAGAATTTGTCTAACTGTTTTAAATTTCCCCAATTTAAACTTTGTGGTTGCAGTGTTTAAGAATTTGTGCACCCTTTAAGATCAAGTACTAAAATCTTCTAGAAGATCCCATTTAAAAATACATTTCTGTCTCTGTGGCTCTCCAAATCATTAAAAGCTTTTAGGATTTCTAAACTTTTGCCCCAACACATTCCAGACGGCCCTCCTCTATGTAGGTGTGGTACAACTTTGGTTTTCCCTGGGTCCAAATGTTTAGCTTAGTGTATACAGTCATTGAACTCTCGACCTAAGAAACTCCCCCTCTCTGCTTCCTCTCATTTTCTGCTTAAATATTACAATTTCCTTTACCCAGTTGTGAGGCATTTGGATCGTGGGATAGTGTTTGGCAAAAAGTTGCTTTTAGGCAAAATTTTATATCCTTAGAGTTAACTTCATTTCACTTCTCTATCATTGTTTTGAAAAACAACTCCTGAAGTCCAGAAATTGTGTCAATCTCTTTTGACGGACAGAGCAGATTCCCAGAAACAGCTCATAGACTATTGCTGTGGTGACTCTGATAGGTGTGCATGGAAATTTGTTTCAGATATTAAGTCAGGAACAGTAAAAATAGTCTGTGTAATAAACCTAACCACACAAATGGAGGGGAGTTATGAGGTATGACTACTGACTCTGCATTCGTAATTTTTAATTGCACATGTGAAGTAGAGGGGAGCTGGCTGGGTGTTTTGAGGAAAGTCGAGGTATAGAGAGGGTGAATGGTAAAATAACTCAGGCAGCGCATTTACACAACACTGACAAGTGGGGTTCACCAGTACCCAGGAAGATTGTATTATTTTTTGCTTTCAGATGCGAATTGGACTGCACTCCGGATCAGTTTTTGCAGGGGTTGTTGGAGTTAAAATGCCACGTTACTGTCTTTTTGGAAACAATGTCACTCTGGCTAACAAATTTGAGTCCTGCAGTGTACCACGAAAAATCAACGTCAGCCCAACAACCTACAGGTATTCATAGCATTAAGCACTTACCAGTTAGTGTTTTTATGTATACTCAAATGCGGTTTTTCCCATTGATTTGATTTATTCTCCAAAAATTTTTGCTTATTTAATCTTAAAGGAAAAAGCAAAGTAATAACTTTTATCATCCTCTCTTTAACTTTTCCTGAAAACTACTTATGCTACTTAGCCTCATACGAATGACTTTTCTGAGGTATTTGTAGCCCAGCTCTAATCTTTGACAGACATGATGTATTCCTCTATTTTTATGCTTTCCTGTGTGGATATTAATGGTCTTAGTATGTTGATAGGTATTCTGCCATCAACTGGTGTACTGAAGTACAATTCTGATGCTAACCACTTTAAATTAGCATAGTCATTACCACAAGTGATGGGGCATGGTACCCAACAAGACCATCCTTAATTTAAATGCCAACCACCCTTCAGGGGTGCTCACACCATCAGCATTTCTGACCATTTGCCTACAAATTTGGAGGTTCTTACAACCTCTACTAGTTAGATAGTTAGCTAGAATGACTCACAGTACTCAGGAAAGTGTCATAGTTATTATTAAGGTTTAACTGTAAAGGATACACATCCAGACCAACGAAATAAAGAGAAAGTTAGGGTGAGTCCCGAATGCAGATCTTCTGTGCTCCTTCCTCATGGAATCAGGACGTGTCTCCCTCCCACCACATCAGTGGGTTTACCATCTCGGAAGCTCGATCATTCTGAGCTTCAAGCTTTGGTGTCTAGAGTCACGGGTTTCATTACACCAGCATACTTCACTAAATCATTAGCTCTGTGGCTGAACTCAATCTCCAGCTCCACTCTCCTCCCCAGGAGTTAGGCTTGCTCCAATCTCCAAACTTCCCATCACATGATTAATATGCTGGCATCCTGTGCCCTTTCTGAATCACCTCATTACCATAATGAATATCAGATGTGATTCAAGAGATTCATGAAAAACAAAGACACTCCTATAACTGAAAAAATGCCAAGAGTTTTAGAAGCTCCCTCTGTAACCAGGGACAAGGACCAGTCAAATTCCCTATTATACAGGAACAGGGACTAATTTACCAAAGGAAAACTGCTGGCCATTAAACATGTTTCAGAGTTTACAGAGTCTCATGGATTGACAGCAAGTGTCAAAGCAGTGAAAGG